CTTAAAAATCCCCAAGCCTATTTCCTTCCAGACACTACCACCAGCGACCAGGCAGCTTTTTAGGAGTTTTTCTCTGCCCTATAATTTTTTAGACCACAGTGCACACCCGTGGAGTGGCTGACACTGACAGAGGCTGGTGGGGGATGTTTCTCCTCATGGAGGGTTGTGAGGGTGTCACAGGGAACACAGCTCTTGCCTTGTTGGGAGGACACCAAAACAGCCTCTTCAGCATTGCAAAACACCAGCTGAAAGAGGATACTCGCTATAAATAGAYGGAGGCAGCGGAAAATGCCAGAGAGGAGAGGTGCTATTTAAACTCAAGGACAAAAATAAAATAAGGATAATCTGGAAGGGAAGGGAATGGAATAAAGAGCACAGGAAACATGAAGGTTTCCAGGCATCAGAGCAGGGAGAAAAGAAGGCAGTCAATAAAAACAAATTGAAGCATAAAACTCAACTGGTTTAAAAGGGGAACCTGGTTGGTTTGTGGCAGCACTGGATGTAGTTGTYCAGGAAAAAACTTCCTGTCTGAGGTTCCTGATCTCAAATGAGTTCATAAGGAAGTTTCCTAAGTCACAGAGTTCACAAACACAATTTTGGACTCCCAATGTCTCTGCTTGGTAKCTCAAGCATGGCTTTAGCTCATGACAATAACACCTAATACCTGAAATGAAGAATTTAAACCAAGAGACAGAAAAGACAAAATGAAGCCTCAGCCTTAGTGGCTGTTCCTGTTCTATTTTTGCTAAGACAATACAGGGCAAAGGCTGATGATTAATTTTCAACCCCAAGTCCATCACAGAGATAAACTTTGGTGTTTGTTTAGAAACTTTGGAGATCTCTCACTATAGTAAGGAAAATAAAACAAAAGTCACATTATTGCCACTGCTCCATGCTGATCCCACASGTTTTTGGCAGATTTGGAAAGGTGGCAGAATTAATCAGCTTTGTGACTGTGGCAACAGAAAACAACTGAGAAAACACACAAATAGCCCATTTTTATGGAAACTGCATCACCTTTCTGGGAACAAGCAATGGCACCACCCAGGTGATTCCCTAGTGCATATGTGCTCACAGGTACATAAAAAAAATCTTGTATTAAAGCATGCCAGAACAYCTGGGTAAAAACCACTCTTCTAAATTAATTTGTTACAGTTTGGTGTGTCCGTGCCTCTTTTGGAGGTGCAGGTACCTCCCACCAYGCTGCAGGGCACGCAGAGAGCTCTGCATTAACTTGGCACAGGATGCTCTGGGTACCAGCCCTCCCTGGAGTCATCCTGGCTCTGCCACTCTGTGGATCCTTGAGCTCTAAAAATAACTYCTGGCTGCTCAGCTGTGGGTAACCCCGTCCTGAGGCAGCACACGCTCACCTGGCTCAGCCTGTGCCACACAGCCCCSTGGCAGGGCTTTGCACAGCCAGCTGGCATCTCCCTGCTTGGACAGGGCCAAGCACAGCCCCTTTGTGCRGAGTTGCCTCAGGGTGCCTTTCTCCACCCCACAGAGAGTGCTGAGATCCCAGGGAACCCGTAGGTACTTCGGGAGGGAAGAGAAGAACTTGGGATTAGACAGCAACAATGCATCTGAAATAGTTCTATACCCTGTGATTGCAGAACGGGACAATTGCTGTCTAGTTTGGGGACTGAAGCAAGGGTCGTGCTGCTGTGTCATGTTAACTTCTTGCCTGCTACAGACACATCCCGTGGGATGATTCCTGTGGCAGTAGAGCAAGCTTGGGGAGACCTCGCAGAGAAGCTGTTTGCTGCCTGGGAAACTCAGGAGGATTTTCCCTATTTGGACAGGGTGAGCACCCAAAACAAGCCAAACACCTCAGTGTGGGTGTCACCGATCTCTCCCCACTGACYGATGTCATTGCTCCATCCCAGCCTTAAGCACTTCGGTGCTGCCCATCACACCAACCTCTTGCTGCCCAGGTTGGGCTGGCAGCAGCCTGCAGCTGACCCTTGTGGCAGCCCCAATTCCCCAGAGCCACCCAGCAGCCCCTGGTGCATTCCCATGGTTGTGTGGCTTGATGGAAGTTTTCTCTCAGGGCTTCCAGTGAGGAATAATCACAGGTTCAGGTTTACTCCAAGGCTTGGGCTCCTGCACCTGCCCCCCTCCGTGCCAGGGAGAGAGTGGTTAAACCCACAGTGAYGTGGGGATTGGCTCTGGGAGCAGGGCTGCAGGTAGGCACTGCCTTTCCTGGGACAAGTGTCCCAGGCCTGAGTTTTAAAACAACCCCATCCAGCATTTTCTGTGTGGGAAGAAAGCACCTGTAACCCCACCCAGGCTTTTCTGGGCTCGGCTTTACATAGCAGTCAGTCATGGGATGCCAGGAGCTCCCTCCCTCCTGCTTTCCAAGCCTGCTGATAAAGAATGGGGGTCCTTGGGGGCTGCTTTCTCCTTGGCTGTGATAAGCACTACCCCAGCCCTTGGAAAGACTCTGTGCTTTTGCATGACTCTGGTTTAAACAATGATAATACATTTAAATCCCAAACATTAATCCTGCCAGAGGTTTGTCACAATCTATTTTTGACATCGCTGYGTTGAGAAAACACTTTGGCACTGTGGTCCTTTCTGGAACACCCTTGGAAACCAGTGCTGCCAAACCCAGCAAAGGTGGCTGGAAAACCCTGCTGGAAAACCTGGCATGGGCCAAAAGGGAGGAGAAGGTGTTCAGGGCAGGCTGTTCACTGTCCATCCGACCCTGGSACGCTCTCAATTCAGGCCTCAAACTAAAAGGGAGTGAATTTAAGGAAGATACAAGAAGGAATTCTTTCCTTGGGGGTGGYGAGGCCCTGGCACAGGCTGCCCAGAGAAGCTGTTTTCTATTCCTCGCTGCGTTCAAGGCCAGGTTGGGTGGGGTTCTGAGCAACCTGGTCCAGTGGAAGGTGTCCCTGCCCGTGGAAGGAAATTGGGACAATACGATCTCCAAGGCCCCTTCCAACCMCAACTATTCTGTGATTCTGYGATTCCTCCTTCCTGCTGTGCAGGGTGCCAGCAGCCCTGTGCAGTGGGAAGCAGGCCAGCTCCCTCCCTGCTTGCCAGAGTCTGCACACAGGCTCAGCATTCCCTTCTGATTGCTTGTCTGTGCTAGGGAAAATGCCAGATTTCATCCTCGGGGAGCTGAGAACAGAGGGGCAAATCTCTGTYTCTACAGCATTCCAAGTAGCAGGCTGAGCATCTCAGAAAAGTTACCCCAGTCCCCAGTTTCCACATTTGTAAGGGAAAGATCATGTTCTTGTGTTGCCCTGGGGTGATTAAAATCCACCCCAAGCCCACACACAAACACAGACTTGAAATAACAGACTCAGATATTAAAAAGTACTGTATTAGGACAAAGATTGGATTAGGACAATGACTGGAAGAGCTCCACCACATCAGAGCTCACCTCACTGTCCCCTTGCCCCCAAAGCTGGCAGCCAGCCCAGCCATCACTGTATCCTCACTGAGGGGAACAAGAGTTCTGTGGGTCAGACCAGAGGATGATCCACGCCTCTGTTAGCTGGGATCCTGCTCTGGCCGAGCACCTGGGGCTCAGAACAAGCTGTTCTTCTTCAGGCTGAGGGTCTCCACCTCCTTCATGAAGCGCAGGCACAGCTCCTCCTGCCATGGCAGGGCCACGCACTGCACGGCCACGGGCATCCCCACGCTGCCACGG